TTAATGCACCTGCTAAAGCAATAGCTTAAGCTTCCCACCTTTATAGCTTCTCTGAGTTCAAATGCATCGTAGTGTGCAGGGCTCATCAACATGGCAAGAACCAGTTTCTCAAAGTTTCCAGTGAGCTCAGATTTCAGATCGTGTTTTAAATCCTAAGAGGGAAAAATGCAAAACAATAAAACATGAGAGGAAAGTCACATGGTACTCAGGAAAAGCAAGTTCATCTGTAAAAATTAAACATAAGATATGAGAAAATGTACCTTTCCATAAGTCGTTTTGTAGGCAACTACTATTGGAACCCTCTGTTTGTTTGAACGACTCCCCAGAAGTTCAATAATGGCCTTTTCATCGGTGCCTGTGCAATGTTTTTTATACTCAATTTATGATGTGTAACAAGCAAAATAAGCAAATAAACTGTTCACTAATGCTGAATGACAATACATTTGATGGGTTTAGCACATTCACAATTTACTGACCAAAACCCTTCATAGCTTTTCGAAGAACTTCAGCATCCCTCAGAGGATCTGCCCCTGGACAATCTTTAATAGCACCTCTCTGTCCTGTCTATAACAGGACAAACAAAAACGTTACAAAAACATTTTTATCACTGTGTGCATTGACACATGGTTTTAGAGAAGTCCTAGAATGGAGAAAATGGCATCTTACATAAGGTGCCCGAGGGGTGGACGGAAATCCACCACCATATCCAGGCATTGAGGGGTTAGCTGGAGGGGCTCCAGGGCAATTTGGCATGGGTTGGCCTGGAGCAGGCCCCCCTTGGTATCCTCCAGGCTGCAAACAGGGTACAGCTCTAAGTGCACAGTATACTGTAACAAACTTCATTTATATCAAGTAAGGTTCAAGTGAAGATCATTTAAAGAACAAATTTAGCTTATTTCAGTGATGTAGCACTACAGAGTTGGAAGAATTTAGATACCCCGCTATAGCCACCTGGTGCTCCACCTGGTGCTCCACCTGGTGCTCCACCCGGTGCTCCACCCCAGCCTCCACCTGTAAAGAAAATATTGACCTAACACTCAAAAAGCAGTTGATTTAAAAAAAAGGACAAATCTGAAAATCATCTAACAAAATATGTGATCATTTGCAGTCTCACCTCCTGGGGGCATGGATGGATAGCCTCCTGCCCCCGGTTGAGGGTATCCTCCTGCCCCTGGCTGAGGGTATCCTCCTGCTCCCGGCTGCGGGTATCCTCCTGCTCCCGGCTGCGGGTATCCTCCTGCTCCCGGCTGCGGGGTACCAACCTCCCCCCGCACAGGGTGTCCCACTC